ATATTTTGTAAAACAATAAAATATAATCATTTTATGGGTTAAAAAGACAATTCTACCTTATTAATGTTTAACTACCAAAAATCAAAAAGAAAAAAGGAACAAATACTGCACTGCAGATCGCCGACCGCATTCATCTCATCTCCATTGTTCTCTCCATGCGCAACTCCGCGCAACTCCGGTAAAAGATAAAATAAAATAAAATACTCATCTTCCCAAAATTCACTTAAAGTGACATCTTTTCAAATATCATCTTCAACACCACCAAGTGAATTACTTTTTTAGAAGAAAAAAAATACATTAACATAAACCCAATTATTTTTTTTATTATGTTAAATAAAAACTTTTTTGAAAACATTTATTGTTGTTGCCAAAATTATTGATTTGACTAGTACCATTTTATTTGGTTGAATACGTATTTTTTTGGAGTTAAAAAAATAGAGTTTTTGTGCTTCATGAAAGATATTTTTATTTGGCATTAGTTCGTTAGTTCGAACAAGCATCTAGAACCACAGAAAAAGAGAAGATCTTCAAATATTTTATTTCCTTAATTAAGTTTATTTTATATTCCATATATAAGATATTATGGGTCTTATTATGGTAGTGTATTTTGTAGGAAATCGGATTTAAAAGAATTAAAGGGAGGAGAGGCGTGCTTATAGAGGAGATCTTAGAGAGAGAAAGGAGGAGATTTACTTGCCAAAGATATGCCATTCCCATGGAAGGAAATCAAACTAAAAGTCCTATGCCTTGTAAAAGACTCCAACCCTAAGGAGTTCATATAAATACCCTAGTGCAAGCTCTTATTGCGGCTGCTGAGTTTAGAGATATTTTTAGAGCAATACTTGAGCTTCGCATTTCTATCTTTCTATTCAGTTGTACACAGTTCAGTACGAGAGTTCTTACAAACTCAAGGACTGAAGCTGTTTTGTTTTGGATTTCTTTGTTTCATCAAACTATCTTTTACTTTTACACTTAGGCAGTAAGTGTAGGATAAAAAGTCAACGGGACGTGGCCGGAGAAATAGTTGATAGGATCTGAGTAGTGTTGGCTAGGCTTGAAGCGAGTTCGAGTCTTTGTAAGTCCAAGCTATGTTCATATTTGATCTATCAATGAAAGAGCTCTGAGGGGAAGTGGGATACTTCCCTGAAGAGTTTTTTAAATCTTCGGTTTATTGCTTCCGCATTCATAAGTTCTTTATTTAGTTCGTACTACAAATAGCGCGCTCCATGATATTATACGTTTCAATTGACACCAGAGCAGTGTTCCTGTTCTAACTACGGGATAAAGATCTTTGGGACTGTGTATCGGGCACCAGGAGTCATGATGGGATGTCTGTTACGCGCCCTCTGTTTCTTGATGGTTCCAACTACTCGTACTGGAAATCCATGATGGTGATCTTCCTTCGATCTCTTGGTAAAGGCACATGGCAGGCTGTTAAGAATGGTTGGACTTTACCCCTCCAAGAAAAAGTTCCTGCTGAAACTAAGGGTGGTGAGTCATCGGATGGGAAGTCGTCAACTACCAAAGTACTGGTTGAAAAACCAAGCAGCATCTGAACCGACGATGAAAAGCAAGCAGAAGAGGCTAATTTTCGAGCTTTATATGCTATCATGTCTGCTGTAGATCCCACCCGGCACAAGATAATAATTCAGTGCACGACCGCTCAAGAAGCCTGGAGGATCTTGGAGAGACAGTTTGAAGGCACGAATGCAGTTAAAACGTCAAAGCTCCAAAGAGTCTCAACTGAGCTCGATGAGATCCGTATGAGGGAGGATGAAACCATTGACATGTATTATGCTCGTTTCTTCGACCTGGTTAACCAAAGTGCAATGCTTGGTGAGCCGATTCCTGAAGCTAGACAAGTTCAGAAACTGATGAGAACTCTACCGGACAGATTTGGAATCAAAATTACTGCATTAGAAAGCTTTCAGAGGATTCAGAAACTTGGCATCGATGATCTTCTCAGCAAACTGCGCACTTTTGAAATCAACCATGGCTTTGACTCTATGAGGATAAGCAAAGGGAAAGGGCTAGCTTTAAAGGCCAAGGTTCGTACTACAGTTGCTGAGGATGACGAATCCGATGAAGAATCTTTTGATCCTGATGAAATCACAAAGGCTCTTACCGTACTCACTATGAATGTCTCCAAGCTGAAGAAATTTCAGAAAAAGAGATTCCAGGGCAACAGGTCCCTTGCAGGTGGTAGGAACCAAATTCAGCAATTTGGAGAAAAGCGATCTAGCATGCAACTGAACAAGTTTCAGAATGCTAACCAAGGAGTAGAAAAAGACCAGTGCCGTGAATGCAAAGGATTCGGCCACTTCCAAAAAGAGTGTCCTAATTTCAAGAAAAAGAATAAGACATTCAAGGCTACATGGTCTGATTCCAGTGACGACGAGGAGGGAGAATCTGAAAAGACTGAGAACTCTAACTACTCTAATAACTCTGCTAAATGTCTTCTTAATGAATACAACTGTTTTACTTCCTCTGTTCATCTGACTGATGTTGAATCTAATGCAGGTTCTTACGCAAAAAACTTGAGCGAGGTGGATTCTGATGAATTCTCGGATCCTGCTGCCGAAAATCTTGTACTCCACAAGTACGCCATCGAAAAGTGTCTCAAGGCAAGGGATATCATCAACAAGTACCAGGCTCAAAAACAGAAGATGAAGGCTATTGAACAACGTTCTGCTGAACGTGAAAAGGAGATAGACTATCTCCGGAACGAACTTCAGAAGATGAGGGTGATGACTATTGATTTGAACGAGAAACTCATCAAATCAGACCTTCACATTGGAAAACAAGACAAGGACCTAAACAATTGTTTTGCAAAACTTGCACTGGTTGAGCATGGGGATAAACTCAACAAACAGGCAAGTGAAGAGCAAAGTTTTACCATCGAATCTCTGTGTAACGAATTGTTTGTTGTGCAAAGTCTTGTAGGTGAAAGAGAAACTTAAATAGTGGTTCTCAAGGAAGAACTCGGTCGGGTAATGGAGGAACATGTGGCACTTCGGAGTCACTGTTCTACCCTTGAAGAAAGACTGAGTAAGAGTGAAGAAGTTGTCCGCATGATCAAAAAGTCAAGGGCATCATATGCTGAAGTTCAAAAACTAAGTCAGCAGATTGGTTCATCCAACCAAAGTAAGAATGTCCAGAACCAGAAACTTAAAGGGAAGATTGGAGAATCAACCTCATCATTGAGTAAGGCCGATCTAACTTTTGTTAAAGAAGGATACTCAATTGACTCCAAGAAAGGTAAGCCATACTCTCCAAAGGCTCAGTACAAGAATACGGGTAAGAACTTTGTACCAGTCTGTCACTACTGTGGGATTCGCGGTCATATTCGTCCCAAATGCTATAGAATGCATAATGATATTTATACGGGCCGAATTAATGACTGGAGTCCTCATGGTGTTCCCATGAAAGCTCCTAAGTTAAAAGTTGATATAGTAAATCATGAACAGAAAAAGATCTGGGTTCCCAAGGAACGTAAGAACGTCTGTTTGTCCTCCATACTTGCTTTGAAATTCACGTCTAACTCTGACTGGTATTTTGATAGTGGATGTTCTCGCCATATGACAGGTTTGGAGTCTAATTTAACCAATATTATGCTTGTTTCCTCCAGTTCTGTCACTTTTGGTGATGGGGCAAAAAATAAGGTTCTTGGAATTGGGTGCTTGAATGTCCCTGGTCTGCCTAAACTTAAAAATGTTCTCTTGGTTCAAAACTTGAAAGCCAATCTTTTGAGTATCAGTCAATTATGTGATCAGGGTTTGTATGTGAACTTTCCTAAAACTCAGTGTCATGTGTCTGATCAAGAAAATAAACATGTTCTTACTGGTACTAGGTCCAGGGATAACTGCGATCTTGTGGAACTTGATTTGAAATGTAACAAAATCAGTATTGATTTGACTGAACTCTGGCATCAAAAGCTAGGTCACATTAACTATCCTCACCTGATTGAACTCTCTTCCACAGGGGCTGTTCGAGGATTGCCGAAGCTGAAGAAGGAAGAACCACGAGTTTGCGGATCATGCCAAATGGGCAAACAGAAAATGGCTTCGCATAAGAGGTTGTCAGAGGTCAGTACAAACCGTGTAATGGAACTGATCCACATGGACTTGATGGGACCAATTCAGGTTGAAAGCTACAGCGGTAAGAAGTATATTCTAGTCTGTGTGGATGACTTTTCTAGATTTTCTTGGGTTGACTTTCTTAAAGATAAGTCTGAAGCACTTGATGCTTTCAAAAAACTCGTGTTAAAACTTGAAAATGAAAAACAAACCAACCTGGTGGCAATCAGGAGTGACCATGGTAAGGAATTTGAGAATCGTGGTTTTGAGTTATTTTGTGAATCACGTGGTATATTTCACCAGTTTTCTTCTCCTATCACTACACAGCAGAATGGGGTTGTTGAACGAAAGAACAGGACCCTTCAAGAAATGGCGAGAGTAATGTTAGTATCTCAGGCCATGTCCTTAAGATGGTGGGCAGAGGCTGTGAACACGACATGTCATATAATTAACC